GATGGAATCTTTGTAAAAAATATTTATATTTTGCCAGGCGTGGTGGCACACACCTTTAATCCCAGCACTCAGGAGGCAGGACTCCATTTATACCAATAGCCATAGTTCCTAGCCCTGTTTCCAACCTGATTTTTGTTTTGGATTATGCTCAGAAATGAGGACTGACCACCGAGAGTTCCAGATCCTGCTGAAGAAACACTAGATGTTTTCTGCCATGCTCCTAATAATTCATTCCATTTTGCCTCGAAGCCACTGAATGTCAGGAGATTGGAAGCTAGTGTCTTGACTCACTATCAAGTGCATCTACACCAGAGAACTATTTACTCTGAGAACCATCAAGAAGCCACCCTTGGGGGCTGGAGAGATTGCTCAGTGGTTAGGAACACTTGCTGTTCTTCCACAGGACCCAGGTTTGATTCCCAGCACCCACATGGTGACTAACAACATCGGTAACTCCAGTCCCAGGGGATCTGATGTCCTCTTCTGGCCTCTGTGGGGCATTGCATACACACTTACATACACACAGGCAAAACACTCATACACATAAAATTAAAATATATAAAAAAAAAAGTCTTTTTGAGACAGGGTCTCCCTGTAGTCCCAGCTGTCCTGGAACTCACTATGTAGACCAGGCTGGCCTTGAACTCACAGAGATCCACCTGCCTCTGCCTCCCAAGTGCTGGGATTAAAGGCATGCACCACCACGCCTGGCAAAATATAAATATTTTTTACAAAGATTCCATCTGCAAGTCCACAGTGAAACCCTGAGAATTATTTGCATTCAAGATCCCATCTAGCAAGTCCCCAGTAAACACCATCTCATGCCAGGAGGCGACTCAGATGGAAGCTGTGCTAACCTCACAAGTCCACTCATAGGCTAGAGAGACATCAGCGGCCAAGAGCACTGGCTGCTCTTGCAGAGGACCCAGGTTCAATTCCCAGTACCCACATGGAGGCTAACAACAGTCTATAATTTCAGTTCCAGAAGATCTGATGCCCTCTTCTGACCTCCACCAGCACTGCACAACACATTTGTGACTTACATACATGCAGGTGATAACACTCATCACATTAAAAATAATAAATAAAAAAAATATTTTATTTGCCAGGCGTGGTGGCACACACCTTTAATCCCAGCACTCAGGAGGCAGAGGCAGGCGGATCTCTGTGAGTTCAAGGCCAACCTGGTCTACATAGTGAGTTCCAGAACAGCTGGGGCTATTGGGAGACCCTGTCTCAAAAAGACCAAAAAAATTGAGTGCATCCATGTTGTGCAATGCTGCGGAGGTCAGAAGAGGGCTTTGGATTCCCCTGGAACTGGAGTTAAGGATGGTTCATAGCCACCATGTGGGTGCTGGGACTTGAACCCAGGTCCTCTGCAAGAGCAGTCAGTGCTCTTAACCGCTGAGCCATCTCTCCAGCCCCAAAATAGTAATAAAAATTGTTAAAAGTCCACTTTCAGCCACCTTCACCAGGCCTTCCACAGAACAAGGGGGACAGCAGGGAAAGGCTCCAAAGTACATCACAGGCTCATCACATGGTGCCCACTGCGCTGTGAGCTAGAAGGAAGGGCTCAGGAAGCAGGTGGACATGTATGCTCTGGAGGATCTGAACACACTGACAGGACAGAGTAGGCATTTACTAAACCGAAATGAATGCAGGATGTTATGTGGGTTCCACACTTCAATTTACCTTCCCACCATCTCCACGGTGAGGGAGATGTGGGATTCCTAGAGCTCAGTTTGGGGACCTAATTGAGGTCTGGAAAGTGCAGAGCTAGGAGTCAGAAATCTCTCTGGTGTCCCAAGCTCCTAGTCTTCTTAGCTCTAAGGACCCCAAAATGTTTGACATTAGAGCCCACAGAACAGACACCGCTCTCAGTGGCATCTGGACGAGGTTTCTGAACAATGACTGAACTATGACTTTCCATCATGCCTCACTGGGTGCCTAGTAGGGAAGGCTGACCTTGTCTATCCATGGCACCTAAGAATTGCTGCACAGTGTCTCTCACCAGGAGAGGCCTGCTCACACCTGGGCAGTACAGGTTTCTTGAGCCCAGGAGAATTTTCTGAAAAGCAACACACTGTAATGAGGACTGTGGCCTCCAGAGTCAGTCTGACCGGCTTTCCTATCTATGGCTAGGGAGCCAGTCAGACAGTATCAGATTACCGTTAATTAGGATGGACCCTTCCCCTCACAATCAGCAGCTTGTAAAATCAAGGGCTGAAACTACAGGACCCTGATTGCCAGACAAAAGACTGGGATCTGAGCCAGACGTCTGGCTCAGGGTAGACACACAGCATTCAGAACTGCCTGGAAGATCAGAAAGTTACTGTGTGATAGGAGGCTTTCCCGTAAAGAAAACAGATTCCCTGCTGTCCCTCCCCTAAGAGTTCATTCAAATGGGCAGGAAAACTGTCCAGGAACTTCAGTAGCATAAAGTCCGTCTAAACACATAGGCTGGCACAGTGGTGCCCTGGCCATCACCCACCTTCATGCGTTGACGCCACTAGACTGATCCATGGGTTCCATCTGAATTCTCTCAATGGAGATCATAGGGTCAAGGGAGATGAGGACACCAGAGACCCCAGGAGGACCATTTTTGGTGTTGCCTCTGTGAATTAAAGTCCCAGAAAGAAGCCATTCCTACCTTTATTGACTGACTGACCAGAACTCCAGATTACCACAGAGGTTGAAATGTTGGTTTGGAGTCAAATATCTTTGGCTATCTTGGCCCCTTTTAACAACCATTTGCCTACCTTCATGTGTGGCCTAACATCCTGTGACTAGTGCATAATTCTTTTGAAATGTATGACCAGAACCTTAGCTTCCACCAACCTAAAGGCTGTGAGATGAGATGGCATCCCAAGTCTACAGCAAAGATCCCACTGCTTTGCTATAACCTAGATGAGCTGATGTTCCTACCAATGTTTTCCTGTAAAATCCTGAAGAAACAGTCATGTTGGACATGGAATTTGGGGTAAACTAAATCTGTGTTCCTGGGACACGGCCACTTATTTGGTGCACAGCACACTATGACACGGGACACACTCTGACATGCTATGCATTGCACATTCTGTTCCTGGTCGTGTTTGAAATCTCCCACAACAGAAGCTCGTGAAAAGCAAACCTGGGCTCTGCCACTCAAAGGCATTTCACTGTCAGTTCTGACTTCACTTCCTCTTTGGGAAAGCTGACGGGCCACATCAGACGGCTGTGTGAGACAGGTGAGTTGTTACAAGTGATGTGGAGAGACCCTACAGATCCATGGAGAAGCCATACCTCTTAGCTTCAGGAATGCACTGCGGCAGTCCATCCTTGCATCCACCCTATGAGGCAAGGTCACCTCCCTGTCAGAACAGAATGTGTTCTAGCAGCAAAATCTGCATGAGCATTGTGGTTTACTCTAAAACCCCATTTTCATTACGGCTCATCTCCCTGAAGGTGTTTTGGCAATTGTTGATAGAGAATCCGAGGTGTGGTGGGTGACATAATCCCTGCAGAGTGACAGACTTAAGAACTAGGTGCAGATCAGGCTATCACAGCACATGTAGCCTGGTTCTCTCTGTTGCTGGGCAGGCTGGGCTTGCTTTGTCTTCATGTCCCATGTTGGGAGTGATAGGTTAAAAGTTGCTGGAGAACGATAAAGATAAGGAACCAGACACAGATAAAACTCCATTGGAATAGAGTATTAGTAAAAGAACACATGGGACAGATTTCCTTCCGGGCAGGGAAAAATGTCTGCCTGGGTCGTGAGCTGGGGTCTTTTTAAGGGGGAGGCTTCTGCTTCCTGCACAAGGCAGGAAGATGTATTTTTTCAAAGCGGGACTGTTAAAACCTGTCCTCTTTAGAGATCAAAGGGGAAGCCTGCTGTGTTGGCCAAACAGTGGAGAAAAGTCTGCTTCTCTTGACTTCAAAGACCAGGATGCTTATCAGCTCGGGTCCCTTTTCTCAGGAGCTTGAGAAGTCCTTGAGACCCCGTTGGTGAGCTGGGGTGGGGGGGGGGAAGAAGCTATCTGAACCTTAACAGGGAGGAGGGGATAGTAGCCTGGTGGCCACTGTGGAAAACAGGGACGGACAGTGTGGATGCTCCCTTCTACTCCAGGATAAGCAGGTCCTCAGTGTACTGGGTTTCCATCTTTCCCATACCAACAGCACTGAGGCTCAAAACAGAATCAAATATGGGTAAGGAAAAGAGAACCCTGGGCAGCTCTGTGCTGGCAGCCCCCACACTTGACAAATCTTTTAGTAACTGTCTTTACTGGATCACTGACACTCAGGAAATGTGGGGGCTGGGGGGAGAACCAAGCCTCTCCTCTGAGTCTCAGCCTCTCCAGATCTCAGCTGCTGTCCTTCATTTTCTCTCCCTGAAAGAGGATCCGAGAGTGCCCATATTTCCAGTTAACAGCTATGCCATCTGTGAGCAAGTCATGCAGCCACCAGCGTTAGGAAAGCTCTTCTTCCCCCTGCAAATCTCTCTGTAATCAGAAGTGACAGAGCCAGAAGACAGGCTCTGAACAGTTACCAGGAATCTCCCCGAAGAGGCAGCTCCATCAGGCGCCCAGACCGGAAAACCACGCTGCTGGGATAAAACGGCCAATTTGCATCAAAAACTCAGCTGGAAAGCCAACAACCTGCATCCTTCCAGCTAAGAACAAAAGCAAGCCTGGCCTTTACCACCAGGGCCAGGGAGGGTTGCCGTTTGCAAATATGAGATCCAGTGGGAAAGGCTGAGCTGAGGGGAGCACCTGTGGGCATATTCCAAGCCGAACTCCCACTTTGCCAAAACAAGCCAACTAACGCTCGCTTTCGGTCCCTTCTTAATCTCACAAGGATCCAGTCAAAATACACTGTTTCCCCACAATTGCAGAATGGGGGGGGGGGATGTCGTGGGAAAGGGAACGTGGAAACAGCCTCGGGGGAGGGAAGCGGAGGGAGAAGGGCCTGGGCAAGGGACCCACAGCAGCCAGCACCTTCGGCAAAACAAGAGAAATACCCAGTTTAAGGCTGTTATCTCCTTTATTCAAAAAATAAATATCTCACTTTGAGTCAACAGATTTCAAATCACATTAAGCACAGAGAAGAAACACTGTCCCTTCAGAACATGTGAACGGGAAAAAGAAAACATGTTCCAGAGGATGGATCAAGGGCAGCTCTGATTCCGGCAGCTTCACCCAGAGCCCTCCCTCCAGGCACCGCTATGCATCCATTTCAGGAGAAAAAGAAACACACGGACACACTGCTCTGAAGTCTGAAAGGCACATGAAGTGGACCATCAGGTGTATGGCACATTCACCGATAAAATGTTCCCTATTCCCTCCAAAGAAAAGTAGAGAAACTTTAACCAAGTCGAAGACCAGGGAAGACAGGACTTTCCTGCCCTGCACCCAGCACTGTGAGCATGCGCAGAGGAAAGCCGGATTTCCTTCGCCTCCCACTCCCCATCCGCAGGAGTGGAGGCTCACTCAGTGACTGCAGGGCGCGTGGCCACATACACAAACACGACGATCAGGACCACGACCGCAGCCAGCGTGGGCAGCACCACCGTGGTGATCTGCCGCCGGGCCTCCTGCATGGCCTGCTTGCGTTCCTTCTTGTCCCTGGACGTCTCCTTCTTTGGCTTCCCTTTGAGCTGCCGCATCTTTGTTAGGAAATGCTGGGGAGACGAGTGCAGAGAGGCTGGAGGAAGTCCACACTGTCCAGGCGGGGACCCTCTGTAAAGAAAACCACCACGGTCAAGATGGAAGGAAACGGGAGGGAAGAAATCTCAGGGCTGAGATGACTCGGTAAGAGCCCTCGGGTGTACACAAGGAACCTGTGTTCGAATCCCCAGCAGCACATAAAAAGCCAGGCTGGCTGCACATGCCTCTGGTCCCTACATTGAGGAATAGAGACAGGAGGATCCTCAGAGTTTGCTGACCAGACAGAAATAACCAAAACTGTGAGCTTCCAGTTCAGAGAGAGGCCCTGCCTCAAGACAGGTAAAGAGCAGAAGACACTCCACTGCCTGCTCCGGCCTGGTGTGTAACAAACATTCCATCCCAGAGGTTCGAAAGGACACACGAGGCCCCTCCCGCCCCAAGGTTAGAAGCAGGGAGCACCGAAGAGCCCCAGAGCAGCCTCGCCACCGCCACCCGGGAGTCATACAGAGAGCCCCAGGCTCGCAGGCTCGCGAGTAGCGGTGTTGGGGAGGCTTTTGGGGATGCCGCTGAGCCACCTAGGCTCCTGTGAAACCCCAATAAACTCACTGCTTCACCAAGTGGGACTGCGACGTTACTTTGGCCTGTTGTCAGTTCCCTTTTCACATCTCCTCAGGAATAGTGTCATATAACGTCACATGTACACACACGGGCATGTGACCCACACACGTTCATGTAACACACACACACACACACACACAAAGAAATCACAAAGTTCAAAGCAAATACAGTAGGGGTATTTGCAACTTGGAAGTCAGGGACTAAGAAGAGATCATGCCAAGCTCTCGGCCAAAGACAACTTCATCTTTTCACAGGTTCCTTGACCCATGTAGTCCAAATTCTCCTGAGCACCCATGAGTGCTGGGCGCCCTGCAGGAGCTGAGGCTAGAGGTCTCCTCAGCAGTGCTCTCTGCCTATAACCTTGGGGAGGGAGTATCTAGTTAGTCCCAGGACTCCCAAGGCAGACCAGAACATCCCTCTATACCTTCCTGGGATGGAATGCTTGTTACACAGCAGTGGAGCCGTGGTCCTCTGCTGCTCCTGGCCTTATCCCCTTGAAGCAGGGTCTGCCTCCAGAGCCCACACTGCCGGTGCAGGGTGTGCTACAGGCAGAGTGGAGGCTAGACCACACCCACAGGGAAGGGCGGCTGGCTGCACCCATTGACTCAGCCTTTCTCTTGTGAATTCTGAGGGGTCTGGAAATAAATAGAAATCCTCAGACAACCACAGCACAACCTCTCTATAAAAGTCTGCTTCTCGCCAGGCGTGGTGGTACACACCTTTAATCCCAGCAATTGGGAGGCAGAGGCAGGCAATCTCTGTGAGTTCGAGGCCAGCCTGGTCTCCATAGCGAGGCCACTGGGTCTCCACAGTGAATCCAGGCCATCTGGGGCTACAGGGAGACCCTGTCTCAAAAAAAAAATCTGCTTCTCATTATAGGAAAAGCTGACGACCCAGCACTGTTGCTTCCTTAAGGCTTGGCAGTGAAGGGAACCCCAGGCTTTACCAATTCTCTTTAACCTTTAAGGTGCCTGTGGGGAAGCTCGGCTGTGCCACCTAACGGTTACATGGCAGGTGGCAGGTTACCGCCCCAGGCCTTAAAGTCATCATCTGAACAGCGAGAACCCTGTGTGGAAAGAGCATGCGACCATGGGGCCCTCCTGGGGTCACCACCACCACACAACTGCCTGCAGCCCTCCCCAGGCCTTAAAGTCACCATCTGAACAGCGAGAACCCTGTGTGGAAAGAGCATGGGACCATGGGGCCCTCCTGGGGTCACCACCACCACACAACTGCCTGCAGCCCAGGCAGAGCTTCCCCAAGCCTCGTTCCCAGCCTAGGCGGCTCCACAGCAGCCTCCACCCATGGCCTGAAGGCGGAACAAGGCTCAGCTGGGGGGGGGGGGCACTAGAACAGAACCTCACAGTCCTGTGTCAGGCTTTAGGATTCCCACCACAGACCGGGGGGGAGGGGGGGGGGGAATAATGTCCTCCAGTGGTTACCGCCTACAAATAGTGCCCCCCCAATGGCTTCTGACTGATGGCAGGACAGCATCAATCATCTTCCCAAACAAGCCCTAGCAACACCCTGGCCTGCAGTCGTTTTATAGATGAGCTGCTGGACAGTCTGACCCTCAGCTGTCTCCCAGAGTTCCTGCAGGCTGGTCCATGGCACAGTAAGCCCCTAAGTTAAGCGCCCAGCCACTGTGGTTACCAATGCAGGGCCAGTTCAGCCCTGTTTCTTCAGCTGCTGGTGGTGTCCTCCCACACATATGCAGGTGGCATTCAAAGGCACAAACCACCAAGATGGCCAGCTCTAGACATTTGCAAGATACGTTCAGTTTTCTGAGGCTAGAAAAAAGCCTTGAGAGACTCAGGAATGGTACAGGCTTGGTCAGGATTTAAAGGACCAATACAGTCTAAATTTGGGGTTCTCTGACAGGCTGTGGGCAGACCTGCTCACCTGCAGAGCTGGGGCAGTGAGAGGAAGCATCTCTGAGGTCGTAACTGAGAAGATCCTTTTGTGGAAAGGGAGCAGCTTAGACAGATGCTGGGAAGAACATGGGGCTGGGGGCAAGCCAGGAAGGGGCGTCAGCTGCAGGGTGAGAGGCCTAAGGAGAGGGATGGCGCACTGGACGGCAGAGGTCCAGTTCTCCAGGCCTTCATTTCAAGGACAGCACAGGCTGGCCAGCAAGTGACACAGGGAGGCGCAGGGAGCAGCGTCCTGGGGAAAAGGGCAACAGGCCAGGATGCCGGTGTCTTGGACTTGGACAGTGCATGTGGAGAGGAGGGTGGAGTTACATGCTGGAGCTCCAGCGGTTACCGGCAGACAAGATGTGGCCCGTGAGGACCTGGCAGGGGTGCGGAAGAGGAGACCAAGGTCCAGAGGCACGAGGTGGCCACTAGCGGGTGGTGATACCATCTCATAAGATGTGAGAATGGACAAGAGGGCCAGGCATGCTGAAGAGCAGATTACAGAAAGAACATTAAGAGCTCTGTTCACACCTGCCCTTGTGCCGTGAAACTGTCTCCTGGGTGTTGCCATGGAAATATCCAGGAGGCAGCTCAGAGTCCGGAGCTGGCTCTGGCTGCAGATCTGCAGTAGGACCAGGAGAGGTCACCACAGCAAGGTAGACAGAGGAGAGAGCCCAGGACTGAGCCCTGCCCACACCCCTGAGAGCTGTGGGTCAGGAGACTTGGAGAAGAGGCAAAGAAGGGGAGAGAACAGAACGCACATCCATCCCGAGCCCAGAAGAGCCAAAGTCACTGCTGGGTGGACAGCCAAGATGAAGATAAGAACCACGCAACCCACACTGTGGTGGCTGCTTCAAGGGCGCTCAGTGGGGGTCAGAGGGTGGGAGAGGGTCAGACCAGTAGCTGTGTATGATTGCCAAGGTACCAGACCTCTTCTCACTTGTATGAGAAGAGCTTGTCTCAAAATGTGATTGAGCACACCACCTTTTTCCTTGAGAGAATTTTGCTACAGGGGAGACGGAGGGGGAGAGGGAAGGAGAATCCTTGGCTAAACACACTCAATACATAGCTGCTTTCCATGTTAGCAGGGTCTGCACTGAGGACACAGGGGGGCAGGGTCTGCACTGGGGACACAGGGGGACAGGGTCTGCACTGGGGACACAGGAGGACAGGGTCTGCACTGGGTACACGGGGGGGAGGGCAGGGTCTGCACTGGGGACACGGGGGGCAGGGTCTGCACTGAGGACACAGGAATGTCAGGTCTGCAGTGGAGGAAGACAGGAAGGAGTTCCTGGCTTTGTTCTTTGTTTGATTTAATTGAAGAACTTAGGAGTCAGAGCTGGAGAAAATGAGGCATGAAATAATTATCCCAAAGGGAAGAAAAGCAGACTTGGGGTAAAACAGCGGCCTAAGTGGTTCACATTAACTGCCCACACTCTGACCACTGAGCACACTGGGCACCCAAGTGCTGGCCTGAGTGAGTGAATCAAATGCTCTCCTGGGCCAAGGCTGGCTCTTGTGGACAGTGCCAGTACTTTGGAAGTGGGTAGCTTGCTTCAAATTGAGGCTGAGCCAACTGGCCTCCAGTTGTAGAATCTGAGATGTACAAAGTGATGTTGCGTCAGTCCACTTTCTCCACACGCAGAGCGGCCCTGGAGACCGTCTCACAGCTAAAGGTACCACAGCAGCTGTTCTTGAGTGAAAACAGCAGGGAATCCAGGACACAGCAGGGAACTGACTTCACTCTTTGGTCCAGCCTAGCTGGACCCAACTCTACCAAGGATCCTGTCCTGAGGTTATTGGAACGTGGTTCTGTTGATAAATGCTTTCACCTTGAGCTGCCCCTCTGTGCTGAACATCGAACACAGCCCTGACTCCTGCAAACCCCAATTTACACAAGGAAGGAACAGCACAACCTACTGCCAACACAGAGGACCTGACCAGAAGCCTGCACAGCCCCCACCCTCCACACACCCCAGGGGATCTGATACCCTCTATGCGCACACACACACACACACACACACACACACACACACACACACACACACACTTTACTTCCCTCTGCCTTCTTTGGGGCCACTTCTGTGTTCCTCACAGAGAGGAAATAAAGAAGCTAAACTCAAAACCTCAACAGGTTTCCTTTAAGCCAGCAGCTCAAGCCTGTCTTTCTTCTACTTCCCAATGGGATTCCCTTCACATACACTATCACGTTCTTAGATGCACTTTTTCCAGTGTTGAGATCACAACATACATACCCGTGGTACCAAAACAGATGGACGCTGATGCCACCAATGAGTCACCCCCAGCCTCTAGTTCCCCTTAACCAAGGAAACTGAAGTCACAAACACTGGATTCCACCCATTCTAATGAGACCTCAGGGGCTGTGCCTCACCCTGACCAACAGACGCCCATGGCAACTAACCAATCCTGGAACCTTCCACCTGGCAAGAGCAGTGGGGAGACACCAAGGAGGGACATGGGGGACACACCAGGATGGACACAGGGACAGACATCGGGACAGACACTGGGACGGACACCGGG